TATATATAGTATACCATATTTTCCAAAAGTGTTATAGAGCAAATTTTTACAATATTCTTCAATCAGTGTCATTAAAATAACATGTAAGAGAATAATATGCAAGGACATAGACTAATATATTCCAGATTAGCAGATTTTGGTAACTTGTTTGATCCTTGGACATAATTTAAAGTATCTAGAAATGACCATTGTTTTAATTTTTTTTGAATATGTAGATGAGACCTGTTTTTGAGTGGTTCTTGAAAGAGATATGTTTGAATGATTGGATGGCAAACTTAAGCACTATGGTTCTGTCTTGTTTGAGAGTTTAGACTCAGTGCTTTGTAAACTAAACAAAGAAGTGTTAAGACTGGTATACTGTTCTAAAAATTTAAGAGTCAACCTAGGACTCTGTTTTTAATAAAGCACCCTTGTCCATCTCAACATGGAGACATCAGGACCCGGTGATCTGAAAGGAGGTCCTGCCTTGACTGTGCCCTCTCAATACATGCCTATTCTCGCTCTTCTCCGAGAATTGAGTGCTTTTCCATTCACAAGAGCTTTGAGTTCCTTAACATTTTATTGTATTTTCTAGTTGATCTTTTTTTTTTAAGTTAAAAGTTTGTTATTTTCAAGAAATATTGGCAAAATCAGTACAATCCAGAAAGAGATCATCAAGATGATGAGGCATAGGTATCTGGAAAACTTGCAGAGATATTTAGTCTGGAGAAGAGAATAATTAAAGGAGAGCAATGTTTTGCGGCCTTGACTGGCAGGAAAGAGATCAACTGAGAGCAGTGCCACCAGTGTGTTCTTATCAAGAAGAATGGTCTAACAAGGAAACACTTGTAAGGACTGTTGGTGAGCCTGTATCGTGAGAGGGAGCTCTTCTCATTGGAAATGCACTTTCTTCCACCGTGTGTGAGAGAGACACAGAGAGACATTCTTGTTTGTTTGTATGTCTTCTTTGATGAGGCACCCTTTGATTCCAGCACCCAGTGAGTCTCCCAGCTTTGCTAAGGGTGTCAACGTCCAGCCAGTGATGGGATTACAGAACCTTCTTAGGTCTCTCCTGAACCTATGTGTGTCCAGGCATGAGCAAAGCCCTACTTCTGTGTAACTTCCTATGACCCTACAAATAGGTGAGCTTTGCCAAGCCCTCTAACGGTGCCTGCATTCTCCCCTCTCATTCTTTATTAAGGTAACATTTGTTTATAACACTGTATTGTGTGTGTGTGTGTGTGTGTGTGCGTGTGTGTGTGTGTGTGTGGCACCTCTCACCCTAAATCTCTACTCACAGGTCACCTTATCAAAGAGCCATTTCTTACCATCTTGTTCAAACTAGTTTTCCATCACCCCAAATATTCTCCACCTCATCTCTGGATTTCCATGTGGCATTTTTCAAAACTAACTAAACTTTCATTTCTTGTTGCCTTTTTTGTCTGTCTCTACTACCACCAAGGGAGTCCTATAGGGCGGGACACTGATCTACTTTGTTCTTTTTTCCTATTGCTAGGAATTTTATTTTCTAATTTTAATTCCTAAAATGCAGCAAGTCCGCCAAGTATTTGAATAATGGACAAATAAACAAATGAACTCCAATTGCACAATGACTTTCTTGATAAGGAATTTAAAAATATTTTGGGAAATGAAAATAAAGATAGTAATGGAATCTTCGGGATATTTTGAAAAAATATCCAGCTCTGTGAAATAAGTATTTTAAGATCAAAACATAAGCTCTAACATAAGAAACAGAAATGGACTATTTGACCTAGTCTAACAGTAATGATGACCTGAGTAACAACTATCATTCAGGCCTGGTGGTACCACAGACAATGTATGAAGCACTTCATCACAACCCCTATGTACCTTAAAAGAGCCGCTGAGATTTATAACACTGGAAGCTTATTTGACTAGCTCATGTGCCCCTGTTGCTCACTGCCTGGGGCAGCCTCAGTGTCCTCAGAGTTCTCTCCCATTCTTAGATCACACCCCCCAGGGCGAAGGCTGGTTGAGCTGGAAGTCAAGCACAAATATAGGCAACTTTGCTAGTGAGATCTTCCAGGGAGCCCCAGGTAGAATCTAGTGACAGCTGCCTCACAGTGTGACTTTGGAACCACGCCAGGTCTGTTCTGTTTCCGCAGGTGACCCTAGGCGTGTTCTCCTTGGATGTGGGCTGCTGGTTTTCACAGCTACTACAGCTCTGGATGATGTGGGGGATGGGATTTGGGTCAATGAAGAAGTCACAAAGCTTGCATTTTTTTCAAGATTCAGGTGATTTTCTTGGAAGAAAATGCTTCCGATTGATGCAGGTCTTTGGTTAATTTCCAGAACTCTTAAGAAATGTTGCTCCCGACAATTATTTTTAGTGTGTTCTTTGCTTACTGGAGAAACCTCTTCAAAGATCCTTTCTTTGTGAGTTGTCATCTGTGTTCCTTGTGTTACCTTGGGCACTGGAGGAGCTGGCACAATCTGGCTATTGCTAATGTTATGCATGATGAAGTCCTTTGTCTCAAGCTTCTACCAGCTTCCTGCAAACATGGCAGGCTAATTTATTGGTTTCCAAGTAGAGAAAAATCTCAATATCTGATTTTCTTGTAATGTGTTGTAGTTGCACAATTGTTCCCTAACTGTGTCCCCTTATTTAGAATCTGCTACCCTGGTCAACCTGAAAGTGACTTATGGCATCAATCATATTCCACCCCCTTTTCTTAGTCACCCCCCATCGCTGACTTTTCTCCTCATGCCTTTTTTCTCTTTCTTGCTTTCTATCCACCTCCCACCTTCCTCTTCTTTTAGAATTTTCTTTTCTGTCTACCACAGGTTACTCTTTAGCTTTTTACACTGAAAGCTGAGCACACACACACAAAACAATCAAAAACCTTTTTAATCATTTCAAGTCAGGTGTTTTCAGCTTGGTGGGGAGCTAAAGAAAGCTTTCAGAACTTACCTGGCAGAACTGGGTATTGTTGCCAGAATCCCCCCATGTGTGTTTCCAATACAGTGGCCAGAGTATTAGTGCCTGTGGGAGTAGGGAAAAGCATACTGGTTATTTACATCCACCAGCATGATTCAGCAGCAAACAGGGAAACATTCTTGATCTCTAGGGAAAAGTTTTTGATCAATTGAGCAATGGTTGAACAATGGATACATATAATAAGCTTTATTTTTGAGGTTTGCAAATCAGACTGTTTGCGGGGGGTCTGTGCTCCAAATCAGATGTACCCATTAGGTTTCAATGCATTTTTATCCATTCATTTACATTATCATCTAGGACTGTTTTCATGTTGCAGTTTTACAGAATAGTTGCACTTAAGACAAAATGGCCGGCAAAGCTTAAAAAATTCACCATCTGGCCCTTTACAAAAGTTTGTCAGCTTCTATCAGTGTTGTGTTTTATATCAGTGGTTCTCAATTTCAAGTTATGAGAAAGACAGAAACAAGAATAGATTCATCAAAATCACTTGAGCAAGCTTTTCAATACATTCCCACCTCCCGCTTCTCATGGGAATAGCCTGTTGAGAGTTACTGTTGTAAACTCTAGGTTTCAAAGTGTTTAGTTTCATTAACTGATATGGATTGTTTCCACTATTTTGACTTTCTAAAAAACATAAACATCCGAAATAGTACTAACTGTGTTATTTCTTTTTCAGGGATGTGGAAAGAAGATGTATTCCTTTTTGAGAGGAACCAAACAACTGCAGGTGCTAAGGTTTCTGGGGATTTCCATTGGCGTGACACAGATCCTCGCAATGATTCTCACCATCACTCTGCTGTGGGCTCTCTATTATGATCGACGGGAGCCAGGGACGGAACAAATGATGTCCCTGAAGAATGACACCACTCAACACCTGTCATGTCACTCAGTAGAACTGCTGAAACCAAGCCTGTCGAGGATCTTTGAACATACACCTGTGGCCAACAGCTTTAACACACACTTTGAGATGGAAGAATTATAGAGGATATCCAAAAAATGAAACTACACTTTTATTTTATTGAACTTGTGAATTTTTGAGTCCACATTTATCTGTTTCAACAATGTCTAGATGCCATAAAGGATACCTAGGCATCTACTTTCCTACCTTTTAAAATGAAGAGGGAGAAGTTTCATATGATAACACATCACTTGAACAATAGTTACTGGCTTTTATAATGCTGAAGACAGATCTAATACCCACTTTATAGCATGTGTAAGATTTTTACGGAGCACAATTATGCTTTGACATTTATGCTTTGACATAGTTTGACCAACACTTCTCCATCATGTGTGAGGCATGCTATAGTGGAATTGGAGCTACAGTAAAGTTTGATTTATTTCCATAAGCTTCTTAGTATATAAAATACTAACTGCTAACATAGGGAGTTAGGCAGTACTAATGACTTTTATTACTTGGTGATATCTTCTTCTGATGTGGTGGATATAATACACATAAGAAAACTCTGAAGATAGGCTACCTAAGTGTGGTTATTGTTGGTGACTAAACTATTCTTACTACTTCCAAGAACAAACTAATACATTGTCTTAAACTGATCAGGGATTTATGTGTATAAAGAGTCTGTGTTAAGTCTGTATAATTCAGTAGATTTCAGTTCTTATAATGTTAAGAATAATAGTTATGAAAAAGATAAATTTGTCCTATATAGCACCATTATTTTTAACCTTTCCTGCTAATAGAGCTTTAAAATTCTGACTTGGGTTTGTATTACATACATAATTGTTAATTTAAATACTTAACCACTAATTTGGAAAACTACCAGTGTGATACAAAGGAGTCATTATAATTCAAATTGCCTTGTAGTCTCCAGAAAGTATTAACAATTGAGTTTACATGTAAGTTAGTTCTTTTTTTTTTTTTTGCTTTATTTCACTGATTAAGATGTTGTGGTGAATTACACAGATTATTAAATTTTTTACAAGAGTAAAGTATATTTATTTGAAATGGGAAAAGTGCATTTTACTGTATTTTATTTTTTGTTTATTTCAGAAAATGGAAAGAACATTAAAATGTGTCTATAAATATTTTCTAGAGTAATAATTTGACTCTGTCTAAGTTTTAGACATAAGCTTTTTTTATGACTAAGATTAGCAAGGGAAATATATGTGAAATGTGATTAAATAAAGTAGTAATGGTAATTTTCAAACTCTAGAACTAATCTATAAGACTATGAATTTTCACCAAAAAAAGGCAATAAGATGCCCATGTAATTTTCAAGTTTGTTTTTGAGCTAAGTTGTAAAGAATGTAGTCGTTCAATATAATATAGAAAATATGCCATTTATGTTGATTTGTCTTCCCAGTGATTTCACCTATCTTTTAAAAATAATTTTTTCAAAGAAAATGAGCCTAAGGAATAAAATACTTAGAGTCAACTGCCAGATTTCATATCTCCTGCGTATTTAAGTGAAAAGGACCTTTTTTTTCTTAAATTTCCTTAATATCCCAGCTCCCCATACTGTCACAAAAAATGCCCAAGTAGTTGAAACAGCTGTGAGTATTATTTGAATTTCTTGGATAATGGTTAAGTTCACAAAAAGAACAAACATACATTGTGCTTAGTTCAGTAAAACAAAATCCTCAAATTATAAATAAAAGTTGATTTTTATATTTTTAGAATTCAGATATTTTAATGTTACCTGACCAGAGTACTCTCTAAAATAGTCACTGTAAATGCAGACAGTCATCTAATATATAGTGCACTTGCTTAGTGGGAACAGATGACATTTATACCAGTGGTCCACAAAAGCCTCTTATGGTCACAGTGCACCTGGAATAATAAAACTGTGAGGAAATTTAAAAAGTGTGTGTAATATGGCAGGACTGAGGGAGTTCATTGGGTACTTTGTTAACTGTTTCTTTGGGAATTTTTAAAAGCTTTCCTAAAAATTACCATTTTTTTAAAAGCAGAAATTTAAGAAGCTTACTTTTGGACTGGCTAATAGTCCAGTGAAAGTGTCCTGGGGGGTGCAGAGGTGACAATTAGGGATGGTGTCTGTGCTTAAACCACTTTAAAATCTGACTGAGAGACTCTCTGCTAAGCAGACATAAAATTAAATACAGGAGTATGCAGTGAGTAGGGCCATCTTAGGAATATGAGGTAGAAGCATGAAATAAAGGTCTCTACCATGAGGAGATGATCTTCAGGAAGGAAGGAAGAATGGAGCTTAGTTAGCTCATGGAGAACATTCCATGTCACTACACTTAGAGTACAGAATCCTCAAGAAGATTCCATGAGGAAGGAAAGATGTGAGATTTAGGATTTTGAATTTTCTTCTATAAGCTGAATAGAGAATCATTGAAATATTGTCAGAAAGAGAAGTGATTTGTGTTTCAGAAATGAGTTGAGTTGGCTGAGTGAGAAATTTATGGTCAAGAGTCAGGTATGCCCATTACACAGCACCCCTGATCTGGCCATTCTTTACCTGGTCAAAGCATAGAGCCCTTCAGAGTAGAAGAATGCTGGAGCATCTCGTAGGGGACTCAGGACCGTGGGCCTAAAGAGAGAAAAGGATCCTCATCAGGACAATGGAGGTATAAAAACAGCAAATGAAACAGGTTATAGCAGGATGAATCCATCCAAATTGACAGTAGGTTGATCTTGGGGAATGTGGGATCAGAAGTAAAAGAACTGAAATTTTTAGACTTTGTACTATTAAGTTGGCAATGACATTAATCTAGATAGAAGACTGGAGGGGGAACGGGTGTGTGGGAGGGTAATTAATTTGGTTTTGGACATACTGAGTTGGACATGCCTGCAGGACATGCAGATGGAGATGTCTGCAGGCAGCTGTAAATTCCAGTCTGGAGCTCAGGAGAGTTCACTGTCGAGCCTGAGAATTTTTATGTATTGCTTTCTGATCTCAGGAAGTCTGACAGAAAATGGGCCAGGAACCAAATCTTATATGAGAAGAATCTTAAACAGGATGCCACAGAGCTTCCTTTTTGTCTGAGCTCCCACTTCTGTGGATGAGTCAAGAGGGGTAAAGGAAAGAAATGAAGACACCACTGAATCTCGGGTGGCAAAGAAGCCACCCCATTTTTGAAAATTACTGCCAATTGCTATGTTACTTCACTCAGCCCCTCTGCCTACTGTCATCCGATGACTTATAAGTGGATTCATCTCATTTTCTCACATCCAAGAACCTCCTAGAAACATATACGGAAAAGTCTCTGCTATTGGCTTGAAAGCTCATTCATTTTCTATAATAATATGTTGCCACAATTGTTCTTTATCTCACACATTCATGGGTGTTTACTAGTTGCCAAGTCACAGGGTGCTAGGTACTTTATATATAGTGTCTCTGCTCTTCAGTACTTTTTCAAACTCTCTGGACATCATTAATTAAAGCTATTTTGCAATAGGAGAAACTGAAGACTGGAGGAAGGGGTTGGGGAGTGGAAACTGGGCAAAGTATCGAACCAGCCAGCGGCAGCCTCTCCCTTCTGCCCCTTCCATTTAAGGACATGATCTCTTCATCCACCTGAGGGGAAGCTCGACTGATGCCGTCCCTAGCAAACCAGATTCACTTGCCAGTGACCCAGTATTCCCAGGTCAAGTCTGTCTCCAAATTATGTTGCTTCTTCCTTTAGAATGATTCTTATCTAGCTAATTTTAATTTGCCTATTATTTCCCTAAAAACAGTTCAAATTATCTAAAGCTTTGAAGTCATAAATGTCTTTGTTTTCCCTACATCTTATCGCTTCTCATTGCTCTTTCTTACAAGTACATTGTCAAATGTAATCTTTAGTCAACAATGTTGAGGTTTTTTACCTATATATTCATAGACCCACAAGATCAAGATCAAGAACATTTCAACATCTCCAAACATTTCATCATGCCCTCTTGTTATAGATCACTATCAAATACACCCTATAGTGCTAATTCTAGAACTGGGGAGTGACCTGTTAAATATCACTCTATTCTTATAAAACAACGTTTTTAGCAGATCACTTTCTTACTCAGTGGTCTCTGGGGGTTCACTGATTTAAGTGAAACAAGGCTAACTTATTTCTTTTAAGTCATTCATATGGCACATTGGGTGAATAAAATTCAAGGTGACCGGCCATCCTATGCCTTGTCTGGCTAAATGAATATTATAGGGAAGCAATGGGTGAACACACTGGTTTGGATACCATACAATGACTGAAACAAAACAAATGTGACTTTACATTTCATAAAGCATATTTGTGTTAAGTATCCTAAGATATGGCCACCTGAAGGTGTCAGGGACGCCTGTTCTTTCTCTCCTACTGCTCTGCTGTGCTAAGATCTTTTCCTTGCTCACATGGTCCCAAATGGCGTTCTCTGCGTCTGCATTCCAGACAGCAGGCTGGATAAAGGGAAAGCTACAGGGGAGGAAACATGCCTCTTCCCCTTAAGGACATACCCAGAAAAGGACCTTGCTTTCATTCTCATCTCCCAGCTGTAAAGAGGGGGCAGGAAATAGTCTTTGTTCTAGGTATGTAGGTATCCAGTCAAACCGGAAAGTCCTGTTACCACGGAAGAAGGAGCACGAACACTGCATGCAGCCAGCAAGCTCTGCTTATTCCTCTGTGCCTGTAGAACAAAATTTTCCACTTGTCCTTGTTTTTCCAAACCTGTCCCCTAGTACTTTCCCACATGTCACTGTTCACCACCCAAATTAGCCAATCATGGTCCGTTCATTTCCTCTAACACCCGCGAATTCTGCACCTCCTCACATATGGTGTTTCCCCAGTATGCCTTCACTTCCACAGTCACCTTGCACTTAACCTTTAAATCCCAGTTCTACAGTCACTTATGTGAAGCTTCACCTGGTCATGCCAGCCCATAGCAATCCTTCCTCCACAGAGCTCAGTATGTCTTTGTTGCTATCTACTTAGTTTGGTCCTTATATTTTCTATTTTATAATTAGGCTTCATTTACATTATGATTTTTTTTTGTAGGTCTGATCTATCTTCACAACAAATAAGCTACTTTATACTCAGCATTCTGCATAGGCCTAGGTAATGTTACTTATATATCAGTTGCATATCTATTCACTATATAAATAAATATATGCATGAATTATGTCAGTTAGTGAACCAAAAGCCATTGTTCAAAATTATTCAAATAAGGGGAAACTGCTCTAAGAGAGGCCATCTGTTCTTGACAGGGACAGAGGACAGTGGGTTATCGCGGGCTAAGTATTCATTGAGCTATAAAAGGATGTACACTGGCCTGCAGAATGCATTAAGAGCTCTGTCAAATCTTATAAATGTCTGAAGGAAATATCAAATTGTACTGTGCTTTAATAATATAATAGTGTCTTAGTTGTATAAAATGCTTTTATACCTAATCCCAAATCATTTACTTTAAATCTACATTTGCTTCCACAGAGCTAAAGCTGAGTTTATATTGCTAAAAAAGCTCTGGAGAATTGGAGTGTGGAGCAGATCACCGCAAAGTTTTCAATTTCCGTGTAATTCTAGAAAGTAGCTTAAAAAAATAAAACACCAATGTGACATTTAAACAACTGTGCCTGGTGCATCAAATAGCGTTGCATTTACTCTTCTCATAAATCCATCCAGGCTTTAGAATAAAGATAAGGTAACTATGGACCAGATACTTAAGGAAAGTACCCCAAATTAGACAGCTTAGAAGTGGTATTGTTGAGATTTTGACCAGGTTTGTTTAACTTCAGAGTCCATCCTCTTAATTACTACCAGAGAACAAATGTGTGAACAGATTTCCTAACTTACTCTTCATTCCTTGATCATGGCATGTTGCTATTTTAGTATGTGGCTGAATTTTATTAGGCAGTCATTCTTTCGAATTTTGTGTGTATCTTCAAAAGTCAAATTCATTTTTGTGTGTGTGTGTGTGACTACATAGATATTGTATTATGGGCAAGCTAGAATCCTGCCAATATAT